GGAGCAAGATTGTATATGATATATATCAGAACAGAGTGACCCAGAGCTTGCCGTGTATTACAGTTATACGTCCCCACATCTGACACAAACCGATTACAGGACGGGTTTTATACTTATGGTGAATACTGAAGTACTGAAGTACTAATAGTAAGTTATAATCTACAAGGCATGATGTAATAGTAACATTCACACCTGAATATGTAAAGGTGGCCAGCAGGTTCATACTTCATACCAGTTTAATAATGTGAGTTGTATTCTCAATGGAACAATTCACCTCTTCATTATGAAAGGTTTCACGACAGCACACATGTACTTGATTTGATTGGTCCCTGTCTCCGAGCCCGAGTATCCTCTGGTCCTGACACCAGACATCTATCGGTCAAATGTCTAATCTGGTGTCAGAGCCAGAGGAAACCCGGGCTACCCGTCTCTCTAAAACAAATGTCGAACTTTAGCCATGCTACTACTGGTTGTCCATTGTCCAAGGAAAACAATATGTTTGTACTTAGTAATCATGACTGTAGTCTTGTCATGGTGAGGACAGGGGGCATTACCCCCATCGACCCCGAAAACCATGCGACAGAGCCACCCGGGACGCTCTGGAAAAAAGTAACCTGGTCACCGACGATTTATTGACCGGTTCCGTTACACTGTAACGATATGCAGTTTAATTGGGTATACGTAGATACGTAAGTGCTTTTGATAATGTATTGAAGTGTGCCTACGATTACACAGCCTTCCTCTTCTAGTTGTCACAGTAATTAAGTTTCAAACACACTTCTAGGTAACAGTTTACCGTATTTCNCCACCCCCCACCCCCCATAAGCGCTTAAACACCTTATGTGGTCCATCTCCGACATATGTAAGGGTAGCTAAATCTAATCTATCATATTAACCACACGTCACACATTAGTTTCACGTTCCATACTAATTAATATACGACGTACTGATCAAATATTAATGATGACACATATTTTCGGATTTCAAAGAAAAAAATAATATTACTTAATACGTACAGGACGTATACTATGTAAATACATGTATTCTGTAAATCCCCGGCCCCCGGGAACATCGACCTGTGAGGTCACCCAGTTCAGGTGACCGTGAGGTCCGTACAACTCACCTGCGGTTAACTGTGAGGTTCCATTCCCGGCCCACGGTCGACGAAGAACAATCTTAGCTACTATTACACGCCTTTTGTACTATCCACGACATATACTGGGAGCCATTGGTCTTATATTAGGTTCCTACACACAATATCGTCCTCTGGTTTCTACACAGGAGAAACACTACTGTTTATTAATGTTGTCATCCGCTCCACTGACTGTTTACTCGGATCTCTCTAGGGTGTACACGTGTTCTATTGTGTCCCCGGTCTTTCTGTCACCTTACGTTTATTCAGTTTGAGGATTTTTTTTGTCTAAATGATGACAAATACTTTGATTATTCATAATTCTGTGATTGATATATCGACTACGAGTATCAGTATCACGTCAATGTGTTTGCAGACCTGGTTGCCATGGTCGTTGCTATTGTAATCAGTCGTACTATTGTTAATTACACGCTCAGATGACACGGACAGGTGAGCATTGCAGGGGAGACAACTCTATGTACAGTTTGTCATACGCCAGATATAATTGATATACTACCTATTCTGGTACTGATACACAAATACAGACCACAGTAAGACACCCATTCACGTAACAATTGTCATATAAGGCATTTTACTGCTGTCAGACAAAAGGGGATAGACTTACACAGATCATACAGAATACAGACACATGCCTTTTCTGTGTTTTCTTTATCTCACAAAGCTAAGCCCGGTTCCATTATTTCCTTTTAATCTAGTATAGCAGTTTTCCCACAACCTCTATAACTTCATTTCCTCTACACAGTCGACGTCTTTTAATACAACAATACAATACAAGTTATTTGATCAAAAGTGTCACAGGTCAATTTTGCATAAAATACATACATACAAGCATGACCTAAAATGTACAAACAATATATGACTGACATCAGCCTACTAAGGCTTACGAGACACTATATAGATTTTTGTTAATACAACTTAATTTATCAATACTAAAAACTAGTTCATAAAATTAAAAAACAAATTCTTCTACGATACATCTTAAGAACTGTTCTCGCCGAGATTATGCTAAGGTAGAAAATATTTAAACTCCGATGTTATTTTTGATGGGCATATTTAATTTATATAAGTACAGAAAAGATAATTTCACACTTCTACGTAGAAGCAACACTCTAGAATGCAGTGATACGAATTATCAATATGATGTCTACGGCTACAACTCCGAGGGAGACATTAGACGTAATACGCCTTATACTCGTCAGTCATATTGACCGTTTAAATGTGTTTTCATTATACTGACAGATGGCAGGTCTATTTATTGAACGATCACACACGAGTTTTAAATTAACATTTTTTTTTTAAATTACTACACCGTTGGTTTTCATTCAATCAATGGCGGATTGGGGGAGGGGGGGGGGGGGTGAATAAGAGTATTGAACTGCTTTCTGTATGTGTCAAACATAGGAAAATATCAATAGAAACACATGTACAGTAAAACCTCGATAAAATGCCTGTCATTTCATTTGCCACCTCGCTTAATTACCACCAACATAATTCAAGGTGCCTAAATTCTGTTTTTCTTAAGAATTCCTTTATACGTTTCCCTCAATTTATTGCCAAGCCCCTTTACCTTGCACACATTTCTTTCAAGAAATGGCGGCAATATAACAAGGTTTTTGCTTTACCTTAACATGTTGTACATTTCAAAAGAGATGACCCGACAACGTGAAATGGGGAGACTGGGTAACTGTAATCAATTTTCATGTTGCCGACATTTAATGTTGTCTGGTCTTATGCGTTGGGCAGTGAATTCAAGTGAGGCCTTTTGGTCCATAAAATATGCCAAATATTGTTCAGCATATTGCTGTTTTTTGGGATCCAACACTTCTCATGTTTCTAGTAGATCTGTTGAGGACCAATCGAATCAATATCTCAGATTATGAAAATCTATATGGAAGCCGATTACAAAAACACTTTATCAACAATCATTGAAATAACAGGTGTCGCGTTCTCTACTGTGGAGGGGGCAACCGCCATAATTATATTTAATCAAGTAAAATACTTCTGGTTTGAAATCTTAATCCCATTCCAAACATAAACGAATACATGTTATATAGAGAGCGTTAACCCTTTCCAAGACTCGAACAATGACGTAAATTATGACGCATTTCCTCTCAACGTTGGGAAGCAATCAAATTAAAAATTCATTTCAACGAATTAATTTATCGAATTAAAATTAAATTAAAACGGAATATTTTTGTTCTACCATTGTGTAATTAATAAAGGTAGCCAGATTATAATACAAAGCTGATGATGGGCGCGACGTCGACGGGCGACTTGTCGGTAGGGGTATCCCCAACCACTCTCGCTCTTATAATAATAATAAT